TGAAGGTTTAAAGTGCGGTTATTCGTAAAAATAAAATCAGTGGGTTTATCAACAAAGATTCCCAGATATTCTTATGATTTACTATAACTCTGCTGTCGAATCTTTTATCTCTTCTACCAGTATGGTGCCACGATCAATGATTCGTCAGGCTAAGACTCCAATAATTTTTGTGCACTTCAAAGTCTCATAAAATGTAACAGGTTTCACCTTGAAATAGTGTGATAAGCAACAGCTAACTGGCGAATAGCTATTCCCTGCGATTCTAGGCCAGCATCTTAGTCGAAAGTTAAGCTTAGTAGCTTTGACTGTAGCTATTGCTGATCCCTTCTGGGAATTCCATCTGACTGACCCGGATTGATCCCTTTAAACTGCGCGCGCACAATGAAACGACACAATTTTTATCCTAGATTGGCACAACCTTTTTTTTTACGTTTGTGTGAAATTTGATCTCTAAATGTCAATTAGATTGTGTTTTACCATGGAAGAAATTAAGCAACGAGTTTGCTTGAGAGTCGGAAAGATAGCAGAGAATCACCACATCACTTATGGATCGACTCAACACATTTTGATTAATATTTTGGGTATGAAGCGTGTCAATGCTAGACATGGTAGCTAGACATGGTTGAGTAGAAATCGGTCCAAAAATTAGTCGAAAACGAAAAACAAAAATTCTGCCCATCCCAACCCAGCCTTATATCTAGTGTCTGGAAACATGTATGAAGCTTGGGCTTGCTTGTATTGGCTCCGGAGCAAGGGATAATAAAGATTTGTATTGAAATAAAAGAAATGTTTATTTTTCCTGTTAGTCCGGGTCAAAATTGATCAACAGGTATTTTTTTTTTTGTTGTTAAACGCGTAAAAGAAAGTAAAAATGGAAACAGAAATGCATATACAAAACCAAAGCGAAGTAATGGCGAATCTGCGATTTGCACATGTGTTTACACGTGTACAGATGTAGATAACTGTTTATGTAAATGTTTGTTTGTACTATTAAAAAGTTTTGTAATTTCAGCGTTGTTACAAATTTTCCCAGTTTACTGTTGATACTAGCGACATGTGCATTTAAGTATACATGTAGATGCATAGCTATGTACATATATTTATGCATACAAATGTTCTACAAATTAGTTGCTAGTTACGAAGTTAGCACATTACTGTAATCATTACTTGCAAAATAAGTAAAAGCTGTCAACAACGTCGTTTTATTTTCCCCATCGTACATTAAGCCACACTTTTGCAGGCGCCAATACAACGACGAAATTAATCTCGCTACAATATACAATAATAACAAAAATGCCAGCAAAAGTTTGGGAACATAACGCTCTCAGAGATTGACAAGACGCACCAACACAAACGAAGGCCATAACAGCAATGTGAACAAGTTACTTCATCATTTTTATTGCAACTCTTGCTTAGCGCTCATTTGCAGTTTATAGTCTCCGTTTTAGACTTGATTCGTAGCTTAAATGTGCTAACTGTTTATTTGTTAACTTGATTGGTTGGTTAGTGTTCTCTCATCATTTTCTTATATTTATATCTAAAATGTACATATATATGTATTATACTATATACTTATGCATGTATGTATTATATGTGTGCTTCTATTACATACACACAATTTTTTTAGTTTGTAGATTACATCTATTTCTCTTCAAGCTTTCCGCCAATAATCATACTTTTACTTGATACATACAAACATAGAAATGTACTTTTGTATTTTTTTGCTGCTGCTGTGTAACTGGCTGTTGCTAGTGCCGGTATTCGATGCATTGCTTGTGTTAGTATAATTGGACATATACAGAAATATATGTATATGTATGTGTATAAACGCCGCCAGCGGTAAAACTCACCGAAATGTGGGTCAACTTGGAATAATGCCTATCAAAACTTCGCTCCAATGCTTCAACACGTGTATGTACATATGTATTGAAATATATAAGCAAACAAGTGTATATAACATGTTAACCTCTAAAGCGACAGAACTCAATATCACCGATTTTCAGAATCAAGTTAATAGCTTATATTTATCATACTTGGGTATGTCCATATATATAAATGAAAATACATTGCTAAATAAGTGTGAGCAAAACAATTTGTTAAGTAAAATAGCACGTGAACGTTAAGTATCTGATTATGCTAACAAGTTTAGCTATAATTATACATTTATCACTGCATGTTTTCGAATAATTTTTTGAATATTTATGCGTTTGTGATCGGTGATAGAAATATGTACAATCTAATTTTCTTTTGCTATGTTTACAATACTTAAAATATTTCATACTTGAAAATTTATTTATAATTTGCATAATTTGTAATTTTAAATTTTGAGGATATGACAGTAAACAAGCTTAACAATTTTCAAGGTTCGCATTAATTATTGCGGGTCAACCAAGAGTCAAAGGCTAGTACTTGCGTAACATAAACCCCCAAGCCATAAGTATATTTGATAAAGTAAATTTTAGAATACGTCATATGATGACGTCAAAAAAGTAGTATTCACTCAAAAATTTAGAGATCAAAGTGACAAATCTATGAAAGAAAAACGCGTATATTGTGTTGAAGAAATTTGTTAATGTCAAAATTATCTGTCACGCAGTAAACACAAGTTCAGAAAACATGATTGTAATAATAAACATAAAAAGTTATTTTTTCGTAAAATCAGGACCATATAACTCACGATTATGCTAAGAAAAGAAAAAATTTAAAAACCAATTATGGTTGCTCCTCCTTCCTATCTCACGTTGAAGACATTTATACGTGATTTTAAAGAAGCGTACCCAATTGTGAAAAAACACAGCAGATTTATCTCCTTCTCCCGCTATTACCAAGTGATTACATACATATGTTTCGTTTGACGACTTTTTAGTAATTTATGGGTTTTGATGAGAAGAAGCTCTTGTTTGTATTATTGATAGGTATATAGTGTTTGTGACTTATTATCTTAAGAGAAACAACTACTGTCAAACATACTACATTAGATACGCCCCTTTCTGGGAGGCTGTTTAAAATTTGTATGAAGAAAGCTTGGCAGTATTTGTAATTGTGGTACCAGTAGCAAATATACTTATTAACAGACTTTGCCTTAAAAAAATTTATCGTGTTACCAAAACTAAATAGACTTAGAAAAGAAGTTAAGGTATATATCGAATGCAGATGCAGAATATTTTCCGAAAATTTTAAATTGATTCGTCAAAAAATTTCGGATATGAGCGTATTTGTAAGAAGTGTTTAACATAGTTAACCCCCTCATAAAATTTTAAGCGTGTTTCGAAACGTAGATTCAGAATCGGTTCGTAGATATATTTGTCAGGTAATGGTCGAAGGAATCAAATTTTTGATAATAATTTGGGCTTTTAAGTCACTCGTAAGTGTTAATTTTTTTTAGAAAAAATATATTGTTTTTGGAAGCCCTCATTTTGTCAAAAATCAAAATTTCGCATAGTCCTCATTCTCACCGCCAGGTAGCTTTTTTCGGAGGTTCTGCTGGAGATCGGCAACGGGGTCAAGGAAATCCAATTTTTTTCAAAATTTATCGCGGATTATTAATGTACATTAAATTATGTGAGTGTACAATATTCTTACTTATTTATTAAATAAAATGCCTCTTCAAAAAAACAAATTTACGAAAAAACGCGTCATTTCTGACATGCAAGTGGAAATAACCCCTTTACCAGAGTCCAAATAGAAAATATTGGATGAACTTAATACTTTGAAGCTGTACAATGAGTAATGTTAAATAATTAAATTAAAAAAAAAATCAAAGACCAACTGTTTAATCATACATACATGTTTAGCCACACGAGTGGTAAATATACGTACAAACATACATATGTCCACATGTAGTATACTATATTGCTTGGTAACACTTTTAACAACTTGGCGTTTATATGTGCTCACTTGGCTGAAAACGAAGACCTAAGAACCGGCATATTACCACACAATCACTCACACATAGGTATACCAGCAACCTGTACTCTGACGTATGTTGGAGCAGTGTGCCACACTTTTACGTTCAATTATCATAAATACCGGTAAAAGGTAACGGGACTCAATATAACTCAACCGGAATCCAAAGACAACACAAAAATGCGTAAAAAAGTACAAAATCAAAGTAGTGAAAAGCCGAAGTATGGCAAACAAGCAAAGCGAAATCACATGAAATCAGCCAAGAAAATAAGGCGAAGTAAGCAAAGCTTAAGAATACCCAAGAGAAATGAAGATCGTGTAACTGAAATGGGGGAAAAAGTCTTGTTGGCATAACTGGAATTGGCAGCAAAAGCAGTAAAACATGACTGTGCACATATGAAATACTATATAAAAAGCAAAACGAAAAAAACATGGCTAAAAGAGCAGCACACAGAATTTGACTCGAAATTTCGGTATAAAGTACTGTCAGTAAGTCATATGTGGTAAAATATGAAATATGAAAGTACGTAAAGAACTAAAAAGTAGAAAGTATGTATGTATATAAATATACGCCCATCATACTTTCTATAGTGAGATATCGGGTAAATAAACTGTTATAAAGTTGTTGGTTTTTATAAAAGTAAACCAATTTAAGGTTATGTTCTCTCAATGATTTCAAAAATTTATAAATTTTATAAAAAGAATTAGAATATTTTCGAATATTATTCGACGTATATATGCACGTATTCATACAAATGATTGTCAAAATTTTATTAAACCATAATTACAAAATTATCTTTGATTACTTTTTACAGAGTTTGCCGTTTCTATAAGTGCATTTCGTTTGTATGTACATATATCGATTATATTAATTTTATAAAAATAAATTTAAAGTCAAAAAAATTTACATAAATGGTCTCAAAAGTATTTTAAAAATATTTTTTAAGGCAGGGGCATCAATATGTAGCTGATGATGAGAGAATCACCTTTCTGCGAAATCATTTCTTCTTATTTATGTATTTTTTATAATGTTCTTTTGTCTACTAATAACACACTCATGTACATATTTATATATATAGGTACAATACACTCACTTGTCGTTCGGTTGTGGTATGTTCGGCTGTCTTCTTTTTCTGCACCACCGTATCCTTCTTTAACACCTTCATGGCATACAATGTCATATCATCATCGCCACCAATCTTACGCACGAGAAACACTTTACCGTAAGCTGAAAGAAAAATATGCAAAATATCAGCACAGTGCATTCGTAGGGCATTGTATAATTCAAAACTACAAAAACAAAAATAAAGTACATATATGAATTTGTATTATATTGCTAATAGTAATATTTAATTTTTAAGTATTTCTCACCGGAAACGTGGGCAATTCGACTGCGTGGGTAAACAGTGCTGGGCAACTAAACAGACCTAATACATAATAAATAATCAGCTTAGAGAAATTGTATAATCAACCAATTAGGTTCGCTTTCTGATATAATAAATTTTCGGTTTAATTAATTTAATTATTTAAAAAATTATTCTTTCAATTTAGTTAACTAGCAAGAGTTCAAAATTGTCTCCAAAAACTCAATTGTGTTCGAAAATATTTACATACATACATAATTCCATATAATTTAATGTAAACATTGAAACATAATTTGAGTGTCAAATTTTACAATATTTCTATCACAAAACATACATTTTTGGTAACGAATAATTTACAAAATAAAAAAAATTTCGAAAACAAAGTTCTCAACTATTCTCAGTTAGGAGAACCATTTTTTATCAACTATATTATGAGAAACATCATATAACCAACCTTATAAATATCACATTTATAGCTTTTGTAGATTTTTTACAGGATTTTAAACCAAGGTTCAAATACATTTATTGGATCAAAAAATTATTGCATAAGCAAAAAGACAAAGAAGACTCAGTTCAACACGCTGAACATTTAGATATATATTTGATAGTCTCTATGTTTCTTAACCGGTGTACAAACTTCTTGGTAAACTTAATTTACCCTTTACAGGGTAGGAAAAGACTAACATTTATATTAAGGGGACATTCTAGTCTAGCAATAAAAAAGTCTCGCTTTTTTTGTATTTTCAAAGTTTAACTATTCAAGAATATGTCTACAAGAGGATTTTTCAAAATGCAAATTATTTTCGCCGGAACGGAAACTCAAAACTCTCTTTTTCAAAACGATACCACGATTTCCCGGGTTCTACTGAACCGATTTACCTCAAATTTGTAGAGAGTCTTATATGTCTGGAACAAGCCATTTCCCCAAATTTCAATTTTTATTTTTAAAATATTGGAAAACCGCAAAAAAAGGGGTACAAAAATTATTGCCTTTTTTCGCCACTTCAAAAATTACCTGAAATTTATTGCTCTAGACTAGAATACCCTCTTAATCAATTGACTCGCGAAACTATAACCTCAAATAAAATAAAAATTAACCACGACTATTTAATTATCCTACGCTGTATCTAACCTCTATTTGTTTGCTTGTGTTTATATATACACATATGTAGGTATATATTTCTATGATTTACACACCAACAATATGTAAGCATGTAGATTGTATAGTGACAACTTACCCCCAGTTCCGAGCACACGTATCAGCTTGAAATGTGACAAATTCACTTTTTCCTCTTCCGTTGCTGTACCTATGAAAATACAGAAAAAAGTTATGTAATTTAATGAAGGAGTTACACCAAACAATATGCAAGTCAACTGTGTAAAAGGGGGAGACATTTAAAACAAATTTATATATTTACAATATAACTTATGTTAAGTGTGGTAAATAATTGTATTAAAGTGCGTTGAGTTTGTGTTGTTTGTAATCGATAGGAATATGAAGACGTGTATAACCGAGGGATAGAGAACGGAAATGGGTATACATACACGTAGTTCAATTTAATTAGACCAGGACCCAATGTAATTAAAATTCATAAGGGTATATATTTTAAATACAATACATGTTTGACTTTAGCTCGTATTTAGTCTTCTAAACTGAGCGGGCCTCTGCTGTTTTTTAAGCCTGAATTTTAGTCAAAACTTTAGTCTTTCGTTTCGTTTTAAAAAATATTATATTTACATATCTACATATAGTCAAAGTTTGCGAAAGCTCTGTGCAAAGAGTGTACCGCGCAAACTTACAATTAAGACATTGCAACGAGTCCCAAATCTATCACAACCATGGCGAAATTGCTTCCACATTAACCACATTTTCCGGAACTGACAGTCAGCGACTCTTTTCGGCCCTCTGACTTCAAAAGAATGCAATAATTACTGATACTACCAAATCACTCTAATCGGCGTATCGTCCTCGATTGCAACTACGAGCAATCCGATAACTACTTAGCCTCAATGTCTATCTACACCAGAGACCAAAAAAAGTCGAAACAGTGGAGTCCACCCTCTACATATAGTAATAGTGTGCGAAACCGTGATGAATACTGATATTACGAAGTTAGAAGATCAACTACGAGGGGGATCCGATAAGTACTTAGCCTCACCGCGTAAGAAGCGTACAGAAAACAGAAGGATAAGTAATACGTTAGAGTTACTCAAGTTATTAACATACTCAGGGGTTATTCCAGTGGAAATAAAAATGTTGTAGTAAAGCTTTGAGAATCAAAAACAACGATTAACAAGTAGGAAGGGCTAAGTTCGGATGTAACCGAACATTTTATACTCTCGCAAAGTCAAATGGTATACTCGTTTGAGATTTCTTTGTGGATTGACTGATATTTTCGGTAGAAGGTCAACTATAGGCACTGGGGTCCACATATTCAGTACCTAGGGGCTTGAACAGTTTTGGTTCGATTTAGAGAATTTTTGGTCACAAGGTGGCATACTTTAAATGGAATATTCACGCAAAGTTTTCCCCCGATATAATCATTGTTGCTTGATTTGCATAGTGGAAAGTGAAAGAATCAAGTGGTATTTAAAATGGTGTCATATGGAAAATAGGCGTGGTTGTAATCCGATTTCGCCCATTTTCGCACTATGACATAGAAACATGAAAAGAACGTTACGCACCGAATTTGGTTGAAATCGGTTAAGCAGATCTCAAGATATGGGTTTTCACCTAAAAGTGGGCTGTGCCACGCCCACTGTCTAATTTTGAACGCGGTTCCTATAAAGTCATCTTATACCATCTCAGAGATAAAATTTAATGTCTCTGGCGTGTTTAGTGCTTGATTTATCGCGCTTTTAGTAGTTTTTAACAGTACCGTTATATGGGGAGTGGGCGGAGTTGCCACCCGATTGCAACTATTTTCACACCGTCAATAGAAGTGCTAAAAACATTTGCTTCTAGTGAATTTTGTTATTATAGCATTAGCGGTTTAGGAGATATGCACATTAAACCTATTAGGGGCGGGACCACGCCCACTTTAAAAAAAAAAGTTCTAACTGCAGATGCCCTGTGATCCTGTGTACCAAATAACAGTCTTGTATCTTATTGCGGAGCTTAGTTATGGCAAGTTATTTGTTTTTGATTAATGGCGTTTTGTGGGCGTGGCAGTGGTCCGATTACGCCCATCTGCAATACCAACCGTCTCACGGTACCAAGAAACATGTCTACCAAGTTTCATAAAGATATCTCAATTTTTACTCAAGTTAGAGCTTGTACGGACAGACAGTCACCCGGATTTCAACTCGTCTCTTCATCCTGATCATTTATATATATATAACCCTATATCTAACTCGATTAGCTTTAGGTGATACAAACAACCGTTAGGTGAACAAAACTATTATACTCTGTAGCAACAGGTTGCGAGAGTATAAAAATCTATACTCATAACCATCTTTCATAAAAAAGGGTTTTTTCTTATAAGATATAAAAGTAAACATAAATTTTCAATATCACAGCCCATCTTTACATATACATACACCACTTTTTCCTACCATCATGCTACCCACTTACACATTGAATAAACACGCCCAGCACCGAGTGAGCCTGCTGTGACAACTGGCTGCTGTTTTTCAATGCTAACGCGTAGGTACTATTATGCACTGATTAAAAATAAAGAAGATATTTTTAGCAATAAATGCATTAAAACGAGCCATATTCACCAGCATAGAAAGAAATGTCAAGCCGCTTGCCTGCGTGTGGGTTGAAATATACAAACATTTCATATAAAAATAAAATCGATAAGTAGCAAGGTATGTATATGACTATAAGCGCCTACATTCTACTAAGTCCTTTGGGCAAATATACACCAACATACCTACTATGACAGATGGGCCAACAACAACAATGTACACGCGTTTATTTATTTATTTATGATAGTCTGTCGTCTGCATCGCTAAAGGTCAAATCAAGACAATTTATTTTTGAAGTAAAGTAGGCGAAGAATGTAGGTGCAATGGGAGTAAGCTCAATACGATATGACTGCTATATGTGTGTATTTATGTATATACTCGTGTATGTACATATGTAGTTTGTCTGCAACTATTGTGGTGTTATCATGAAATTTCGATGTGTTTGCTGTTCATCATTTGACAGAAATGTGCGCGGCAATGGCTCAAGGACACAGTCTGCATGTGGCATTCAACTTGTACGAAAGAAAACACTGCGTGCTTCATTTCATATTTTCCATTGCGCGTAGAGACAGACAAATCCAAAATATTTCGACACATATGCATATAAAACGCACAACTTGTCAATTTGTGGTAAGCAAATTTGTTATGCAAAAACTTTTTCGCACACTCATATATATGTACATACATACATACTTGTACATATGTACGTCTGTAAATCGTTTCTATCGCTAATTTCGCAGCTTAAGTGGCAGAGGCTTGAGTATACTTTAGCATTCTTACTTTCATTTTCTGACAGTGTACTTAATTTCTATTTTTCACCTTTAAAAGCCCGAGAGTCACGCACTCATACAAATGCAAATTTAGTGCTAAAAATTTTGCACAGTAAAACTCATGGTCATTGGTTGATTGGCTGCCGAAGAAACAACCGAAGTAGTACAGCAACAGCCTTGGCGTGCCGTGCAAGGTAAAATGAGTAAGGACGATATAATCGCGTGCATACAAACATCTGACTCATGCAAAGGTCATTAACATGGAACCGCAGAAAAGTCAATGTGCCACATATATTATAATTGCTTGCGTCCATTTTTTGAGCCAGTAGACTTTAAAGAGGCTTAGCAGCAAATACAACTTTAAGTAAAATACGTACATACGTAGATACATATACTTATATGAAAGTACATACAAAATAGATAAAAGTGACGGCTCGATACAAAAACTATAACTGAAATAGCCATTTAAGTTTTTCTAAAAATTTTAGACCCGGAAATGATCAGTAAAAACATTAAGAAACCTCTGAAACGAAGCTTATAAAAAAGCTTAAGCTGTTTGGACGTGTCTTAAAACTAGCAATAAAACAAGAAGCTATAATACCCTTCAGAAATGTAAACGTTATGGCAACTATATGATATAGTGGCCCGATCTGAACAATTTATTCCGAGTTTGTACTGTTGCTTTGGACAATAATCTATGTCAAACATCGTGAAGCTATCTTGTCAAATTAAAAAGTTTTCCATTAAAGACTTGGTTTTGATCTATAAGTTTTTAAGGCAGCTATATCCAACTGTGGTCCGATATCGTCTATAGTTTTTGAGATATCGGTCTAAAATTTTTCTACCCAAAAAGCTGCTTATTGCGTTTATACAGACAAACGGAGAGACGGACATTACTAAATCCACTTAGCTCGTCATGCTGATTTCATAGCTTCTCCGACGTTTTTTTGCCGGCCATATGATGATAGTGGAAGCAATGAGAAACTTCAGAAATAACATGGAAAAGCTGTCTTAATAAACTGTTCGGAAATGTCTCAAAACTAACATAACTCGACAATAGTTAAACAACCTCAATATGTTAATAAGTAAATAGGAGAGAAGCTCAGTTAAACATCTAGCAAAGGTTTATAAAAAAGACTTTCTAGCTTACGCTTCGATTGGGCGTATAAGCCTTTCGATGGGTCCGTAATTACATTTACGTCACAAATTAGTTTTAGAATGCCCAGCTTCAGACTTCTCACGGTATCCTAAAACGTATGTGTCTATAATGAAAACATTATTCAATCCAGCATTCCGCTTTGTGACATTTTGGCTATTTAGCTGTGAAAAGATTTTCATTGCCTAGTTAGAGGAATTGAGTTAAAGATCCAACGTGTGGTACTCATGTAATCAGCACACGCAAATGTCAAACCATAACGATAAACTGTCGCCTTGCTTCATAATCAAGCAATGTTCCTACGTTCTCAACCTTTTAACACAACTAAGTACTTACTTGGCGATAATCTTCGTCGAATTACAGGACATTGACCTATGTGCAACACAATTTGAACCACGAGAAAGAAAACGAAAGAAATATCAAAGTTATTCAGAGACAGGATTTAATGAGAAATATAAGTGCTTCGGGCACAGGACATGTGGAGATGAAATGGGAGCAACGAAACATAGACTGATGTTTTCCAACTGGTTCTAATTACGCTTTTTAAAGAGAATATTATAAAAATGTGTACATAAAAGACATAAGAATACCACCTGCCATGAAAGAGCGGGAGGTCAGCAGGCAAATCACTTTGATGAAAGGAATGTTTAAGAAGCCAACTGTCACAAAATGACACGAGAAAAGAAAG